GAATAATTGCACAAAATAGTGAATTTCATTGTGACATTTTTGGGTGTACATATAATATAACTTGATAGTATTCACTCCATTAGAGAAATACTTCTAAATCATATAAATATTACTGATAAATGTCCCTCTGTTCAACCACTCTATTTAAAGGGACTTAAAACCAGCACATGTGAAATAGCTGGTGACATATGTAAGCTGTCATTATCTGTTTCTTCAGCCTAACCAACAGTCCTAGAGTATACATCTAAGGCTCCTGGAGCAAAAGATTTTGGCCTTTGCTTGTATTTGTGGTGCTGGGGTTGAACCAAAACCCTCAAATGCCAGGTGAGCACTATACTACGATAGTATACTCACAGCAACCCAAGAGATTGCCATTCAGTTGTGATTCATGTCACTGGGAGATGTTAAACCTTTGAGGGAGTACTGTTAGCAAATTCTGTGCAGACTTTAATAAATCAGGCCCCTCTCATTATTAAGTTTTGCTAATAGAAGTCTCAAGTAGAAGTCTATCTAAGATACTGTCCATCTGCCCTCTCTCCTTCCCTCCCTCCCTGCCTCCCTTCCTTCCTTTCTGTGATTTTTCGAGACAGGGTTTCTCTGTGCAGCTCTGTAGACCAGGCTGGCTTCAAATTCACAGAGATCCTTATGACTCTGCCTCCCGAGTGCTGGAATTAAAGGCGTTCGACACCACCCACCACTGTTCTTACTTTGAATTAAAACTGTTTCTAACTTTGCTGTCCTGTGCATTATTGTTATGTGACAATTTTTTTTCCTGGGGAGACACAACACACATGTCTACTCACCCCAGATAGGGATCCAATGGAGGACCAAAGTATGAACACCACCGAAGTCCAAGTTCCTGAACCAATAGTTTTATTGGGATTATTTGCAGGAGAATGGGTGAGGGGTTACTTACAGGAGCAGAAGTGACTCAAAGACAGCTGGATCACCATTGCCTGCCCCATCATGAATGACAACTCATAAAAGCTGGAAACCTGAGCACACTGCACATCCTGCATCAGGTGGTAGAAGGCCCTTTCCAGGTGCCTCAGTTGATCTAAACCTCTTTCAGGTAGCTGGTCTGCTCTCAGAGTCACCTTTGCAGTTCAGCTTGTCTGGGATGGGAGTCTGTAGCTCAGTTTTCCTTCAACAGAGAGGTACTTGTAATGCTTACTGGGGGCTAGGGGGGGTGCTTGTGAATCTGGTCAGTTTCAGGGACTTCCTGAATCTATTTTGAATTGTTTACCTTCCTACATGGGCTTTTCTGCAGGATGGAATGTTTTAGGTTCATCTGTACACAGACATGAGTGTGTGTGCATGCCTGCCTGCATGCGTGTGTGTGTATGCATGTGTGTACTTTCAGAAAATTTGGGTCATTGTGTCCATGGTTCTATAATGAATGGCAACTGCCAGCTAACTCTTTATTTCGTCAGTACTTTAAATTTTTGTTACATTAAGTTTAATAAATGCCTGAAACTCAGTTCATTTGTGAGAATGTGCCTCTTCCACAGTCTATATGTTTTCTAATTTCTAATTTACTAGAATAGGTCTAGTAAGTTGACTGAAGAAAGCTAGAGTTGTCCCGTCAATACTGGTTGATCTACTTGGCTGTATTTGGTAGGCCTTTTCTTTTGCATTTTATTTGTGATGGATGGAAACAGAACTTTCCTCTGAAGAGTGGTCTTGGTTACCATTATATGGTATTGAATTAAGGTGTGTTACTGTGGGAAGTTTCACCTTTGTTGTAACTGGAGGAGTAAAAACGGGAGCTATTCTGATATATAAGGGGGCATTCTTTTCAATGATGGAATTAGAATTTCGTTTTTAACTTGCTAACCTGACTATTTGGCTTTTTCTCTTTAGCCTGTTGCTTTTAAGTATTTTTATTGTCACTCAGCCACCTCACATTTCTGCTGCTGATTAGGTATGAGTGAGAACTGAACCCTCTAGAGTTTCCTGTGACGTTGCTGGCTTCAGCTCCGACCGGTACATTCTTCGTGCCTCTCTTAGGTGGGAATCCGTTGCTGCCCTTCGACACCCTTTCCCCTCCTCTCCCTCCCTGGCCAGGCTATCTCACCTGGGCTTGTTTTATACAGTCACTTCTTGCCACCTGTCCTCATTCCATCCCCTACCTAGACTGTCCCCAGGCTGCTTTCCATTAGTCTGGAGAGAAGCCTCCTGCCTCACATCATTTCCTTTCCTAAAATGTCTGAAAAGCCTCTTGGTGACCTAGAAGACAGACAACCCTAAGTGGGTGGTGACAATTTAAGTGTTTACCTTCATCCCTTTTCGTTTTTTCTTCTGGGACTCTGCTAACTTTATTATCTTTGTGTAGTTAATCAGTTACCTGGACATGATAGTTTTTATTTAATATGTATAGCAAAGTATAGGCTTTTTAAGTAAGTGAAGGGAACCAAATTATTTCTAAGCTTTTATTTTGCACAGTTTATTTTTATGATTGCCACACATTCTCAGCTATGTTGTTTACATACCATTTTTAACATTTATTATATATCCACTGAATTGCTTACATTTACAAGTTTTTTCACATGTTTAGTTTCTATTAATTTTAAAAATGATAGGTGTTTCAAAAAGACTGAGAGCTTCTCTGATTAAAAGCCAATGTGGATATATATACATATTATTTCTCCCAAAGATGTGTCTTTTGTAAGTGTTTAAAGTCATATTTTTAGATTAGGCATATTTTTCTTCTTAGACATTTTGTGATTCTTTTTCATACCAAGAGGCTGAAAATTAAAACTTAACATCATAAAATTGACTAACAGTTGAGGTGAAAAGAAATATTTTCCATTCTCTTAATATACCTATTTGTGCTTGGCACAGTCCTTTAACAACAGACAAGAGAGACAGGGATGTTGAGCTGGTATTGGGCAACATCTGCAGTCCCAGCACTCGTGAGGTAGAGTGGAAGCAGGCTGGTAAGTCTCAGGCCAGCCTCAGGTATTTGATTGCAGAGCTTCTGTACTCAAATCACTGAAGAAAAGAAAAATGGTCTTTTAGGAGTGGCTCAGATACGCAGCTATTAGGAATCAATCCTGTTGTGATTATCCTGATAACTCTGTCAAACCTCAGAAGTTTGGTGAGAACGCTGTTAGCGGATGTCTGTTGCCCAGGGTGCAGCACCACTCTTAGAGGGACTCTTCTAAGAAGGGTGTTTCCTTTTTAGTGCAGTAGTCAGCTGGGTTCTTTTGTGTAGAGTGTTTGTTTTTGAAGAATATTTTTACTTATTCTTGGACAGTTTCATGTGAATGTAGAAACCTTGATCATACCCAGTTTCCTTCCATGTCTTTTTCTTTTATCTTCTTCTATTTGTTTAAGTAACTCACTCAGTCACTCCAGTTAATGCTGCTGTGCACTGTAAGCATCACTGGGGCATGGGCAACTTAGCATCCACTACACACCTAAAGAATAATGACAGCCCTTTAGCAGCCAGCAACTGCCAGTAGTTCTGGGTGGGACCTGCTGCGCCCCCACACCATCCGTGCTGAACCATTTGATCTTGTGTAGGTGATCACAGCTGCTATGAGTTCACGAGTGCAGCAACCAAATCATGTCCCTGGGGACAGCATTTCATAGTCCTCCTCATTGTTTGCCCTGTGATGTTCCCTGAGCCTGGGAGGAGGAGGGTTGCAGTAAACTCAGTGACTCACTCTCAGTGCTTTGACCAGTTATAAGTCTCTATATTACTGCTACTGCAAGAAGCTTCTCTGACCAGTTTAGAGCAACACTTATACACAGATATAAATGTAAACATGTAGAAACCAGTTCAACAGCATGGCCATTTAACAAAACAATAGTAGTGGGTTCCCACTAGGGCCAGTCGCTCCCCTAGCCCGGGGGGCTTGACTATATTTACAGTCAGGCCTCAATTCCTCCCTGTAGAGTAGGCCTCAGGTCTAATCAGAAAGCACTTGGTTACCCCTTCCCCCTAAGAGTCATACCATTATTTCATGATTTCTTGAGTATGTCTTGTCTGGCAGGTCAGTATTGTTGCAAGCAGGGACCACCACTGGGTAATACTGTTGATGGTTTTTCTCCCCCAGTGGCCTGTGTAGCACCTTCCAGCACTATGAAAGCTAGCCAGCAGGGAGAAATTTCCAGGTCAGTTCCAAATTGATTTCTTTATGTCCTGCAACCAAAGTGTGTGGTGTCTTTAGCAATAAGGCCTTACTATCTAGTTATGGTGGGCAACCAAGAGCAATGGCAATAACAGCCTGTTGTTTCGGTGGTCTCTAGGGCCTTCTTGACCTTTAACTCAGGGAAGTATCCCACATCTGGTACTGAAATCCTATCTCTATCAAACCTTGGATACTTGATCTGAATTCATTGTTATCAAATGTCTTGTTCCCCTTAACCCATAACTCTCTTACAATACATTCATTAAAAAGCTTCTTTTTAAATATTTTTTTAAATGTGTGAGTGTTTTGCCTGTGTGTATGTATATGCACCACAAGCATGCCTGATACCCATGGATGCCAGAAAAGGTGTTGAATACCCTGGAATTGGAGTGACATGGTTGTGAGCCACCTTGTGGGTGCTGTGAACCAAGCCATGGTCCTCTGCAAGAGCAACTAGTGCTCTTAACCCTTGAGCCATCCCTCCAGCCCCTTAAAAAAAATCCTTTTTAATGCAGTAGTCAGCCATGGTGTGTTTCTGTATTTGGTGACTTTATGGTATCACTTTTAGAGTTATTGACAATGCCTTTTGTCCCTGTTGGGGAAGGGGAGGTTGCTATTTGAAGTCTAGCTAGTTGTTTTTAAGAGTATCTGACATTCCATATTTGCATGAATCTGATTTATGTGCATTTATTATGTTAACCTTTTTCCCCAGTGATACTGCATCAGTGATGCTTATTTTGTATATTTAAGTCACATCAGAAGACACTAGTGCCAGGACCATGTTTATGATCTGTGTCTGTGTAGTTAGCAGCAACAGCAACAAAGACTGACTTGCTTGAGTTGTTTTTCTTTTTCAAACAGACTACAACTGAACGACCTTTCATTCAGAAGCTCTTCCGTCCTGTGGCTGCAGATGGACAGCTGCATACACTTGGAGATCTTCTCAAAGAAGTCTGTCCTTCCGCAGTCACCGCTGAAGGTAAGGTGCTTAACAACCCAAAGAAGTGCTGTCACTTTCTCTTCTACACCTTTGGTTGCTGGCATTAAGTGGATATTCTATATTGATACACTTTAGGAAGGTATCTTTTATTGCCTTTTAAGGGGAAATCTTCTGTTTTATAACACTTGTAATAAAACAAGAAATCAGTTTGGTTTGTAAGTACTACTTCAATGAGTTTGTATATCTGAAAATCAGTGCACATGTATATGTGTTGGAGAATCTTGGCACCAAAGGTACTTCAGATTTCTTGAAGAAATTGAAATATTTGCATACATGTATTGAATTATTTTGGGGATAGAATGCAAGCTTAAACACCAAGTTCATTTGTGCTCTTACACACATACATTACCTGTACACACAACCTAAAGGTGATTTCCATGGTACTTTTAGTGTGCCTACGTTTTTATGTGAGCTGTCACATGTGCTCAGCTGTGGAGGTTTCCATGTGTGCTGCTACATCCTCACTGCTAAAATATGAGGGCATTTCAGATTTCCACCTGAGATCTGCTCTGCATATGCACGTGTGTACTTGTATGTGGACATGGATGCAGGTGTCTTCCTCACCCAGTCATTGGGTAAGAAATTAAATAGTTTGCAGTGTTAGCCCCATGATCTATTACAATGCTCATCACTGACTAGTTTTTATGAGGAATTTTCAGTGATATATGACCATGTTCAGTAATACCCTGAGCATCCTTAATCTTGGACCTAGTAGGAAGGAGGTAGGAATTGTTCATCGTGAAAGCAATTCTTCAATAGCTTCTTATGAAAGAATCTAAGGAAGTGGTTTTGCTAAGAAATAGAATTAGAACTGGTAGGAGTCTTCTTGTAGGTAATATATTTGTATAATTACAGAATAGTGAAAGCTTATAGGAAGGAACTCAGAAGTCTGTCTCAGGTCCCATCTAGAGGCATAGCTACATTTTCTAATCTAATTCCTGTTGACGCAAGTTTTAGAAATTGGGAGCCTTTGTTGCTTCGGGATAATCTTACAGTGCTGGTTAGAGGATAGCAAACCTGGTGAATGTCTTCACTACCTTCATCAGAGTTTTAAATGTGATGAAACCTGTAGTTCCCACACCTGTCCACAGTGGCTGGCTTTTCAGATGCTCATCTCTTCGCACTAAACTTTTCTGTTTTTTGAGTACTTTGTAGTATGTTTTAAAGACCATTTTGTCAAGTAAGAATCAAAGAAATTTAAAATTCTCTGATTGGTAGACTTGTGTTTTGCTTATTAAAAATAACTTTAATAGTTCTTTTTAATCTAAAAAATAGGATTTTAATTTTTTATTTCTTTCACTAACTTGGAGTCTGAGTTCATTTACTTTGAGGTTGCCAGTTTCTGTTCTGGCTGTTAGGTGTGGTTGAGGAAGTTCACAAGGCAGTGGAGCCGAGTCAGGGTCACCTTTGCGTTTGTGAAGAGGTGTTTAGCCTAGAGCCTTTGGGTTCAATTAGCCCAGTGTTTGCAGTTTTCAGGCATTGCAGTATCTCTTCGCTGATTAGTTGGGAATGAGGTGAAGAACTCCAGTCCTCTCTCTCTGTGTGTGTGTGTGTGTGTGTGTGTGTGTGTGTGTGTGTGTGTGTGTGTGGAGAGACAGAGTGAGATCAAAGATCAACTTTCAGGGGACAGTTCCCCCTGCTAATATAGGCTCCAGGGATCATCAGCTTATGTGGCAAGCACTTTCACTTGCTGAGCCATCATGCTAACCATGTATCGGTTTTTCTACTTAACCGTAGTGGCCATTTGTTTTCATTTTCTGTGTTTTTGTTTTGTTTTGTTTCATTGGGGCTAGTCTGATGGCCCAGGGATAAGAGCACTGCCTACTTTCCAGAGGACTACTCTTTATTTCTCAGTACTCCATCTCCTGTGACTACATTTCCAGAGGATCCTATGCCCCCTCTGACTTCTGTAAGCACCCACCACACTCATGGGGCACATGCCCACAGAGACACACACAAAGTCCTTAAAAACCTTCATCTGAAAGTGTTCTGAAATGTGTGCTTTTTCCTAACTTAATTCTCTGAATTCTTCACTTAGTTCTCTTGACTAAATTGATGGTGTGACCTTAGAATCTAAGCTGCTTCTGTGTTTATTTTGTTGTGTTTGCCTTTCCTGCCAACTGTCTAGTACACTAAAATGGTGACTGTGAACAGCAAGCTATACAGGAAAGTCTGAAACCCTTTATCAGAGCCCGTTTGTGTTCGCTTCTGCCATCTTCCCTCCAGGGGAAGATTATCATGGCCTCATCTGTGAATAGTGAGCACATTTGTGAATGTTTTTGCAAAGCTTCTTTGTTCTCTCCTGAATTCTGGTACTTGCATGATCTTTGCTAGAGAATATGCAGAGTGACTTTGTAGGTTAAGACACAATTCAACTCATGGGTCTGCCTTAGACTGTGACAGATGCTGTGGGTGACTGGCAAGGGCTGGAGAGATGGCTTAGTGGTCCCAGCACCCACATGGTGGCTGTAACTGTTAGAGTCACAACTGTCTATAACTGATGCCTTCTTCTGACCTCCAAGGACAAGGCACACACATGGTGCACAGATATAATGCAGACAGAGAAAACACCTGTATGCACAAAATAAATAAAAAAATAACAAAAAGCCTTTAACCTGAAGATCTGCTTCAGACTGTTCAGGTGCTATGGGTGAATTAACAGGGGTCTGCTCCTCAAATCATTAAGCGCTGGTTGATGCAAAGACTGAAACTTCGCTGGTATGACATACATAGTACCAACACACAGCATTGAATTTCATGCTGTGAAATTGGGCACATCCTTAACTCTGTGTCTTTCTTTTGGAAAGCTTTTATCTTTGCCTCTTTTCATTTCATATTTGTAATTAGGAAAAATTAGCATTTAAAATCTGTGGGTGTATTCAGAAGCTTCAAGTCTCTGAGTAGAAAAACTGCAGTATGCAGTTGAGAGTACCTGTCTGCTGTCAGAGTGGAGATGCATTGTTTGGTTCAGGGTACCTGTCTGCTGTCAGAGTGGAGATGCACTATGTGATTCGGGGTACCTGTCCGCTGTCAGAGTGACACACATGCACTCAAGCTGAAAGTGAAAGACTTGAAATTTGGGTGTGTGTGGATAAGACCTAGCTGTCATCACATGATAAAAAGAGAAAGTGCTTACAGAACCCATGTGGCACTATTGCATGCTCCTCCCTGTGATTCAGCCATGGAGGAATTCAGTCTTAGTTCATCGTGACAGCAGAATGTGCTGAGCTTGGGGTCATTGGAGTACCGAGACAAGCTGCTTTGTGTTCTTTTCCTTCTGATCTGTAAGTGGCTAGGGAAATTAGCCAAGATAGAAGGAACAGGAAACAAAGCAAAGGTGAGCACAGGTACATGGTGTCTGTGGTTTCAGTGGATAAAATGACTCAGAGATGAATACTTCTGCACTGGGATCAAATCACGTATCTTCCTCTTTCAGTGTACTACAATGTCAGTGTCAGAAACCAGGCCCAATTTGGTGGCTCAGTGTAGTTGGCCACCCACTTCCAAACTGTCAGTCTGAGTTCAGTCCCTGGGATCCACGTAATAGAAGTAACCCCTAAAAGTTATCTTCTGACACAGAATGAATAAATTAAGTGTTAATATTTAAAAACCAAAAGTCATATACTTAATTTTTATTTAGAAGAATATAAAAAGCCTATAAACTTTACTGGCTCATACTTTATTTTCCATTGTTCTAATATAATTATGAAAACTGGTAAGCTGCATAGCTTAATAAACCTCCATTCTGGTTTCTATAAGTTTCTTTTAAGATTTCATTGATTAGTTCTCTGTGTTGGGCTATTTTCTCCTGATTTTGTCTTTGGTATCACATGGACAGCACAGGTGTAAAGAAAGACTTAGTCCATGACAGGTTAGTCCTAGCATCCTGTAGCTCTCCTGAGGGATGAGTTGTTCAGTAAGCTTGCATGTTTTCCCTTTCCAGTTTCTTCCAACTTCTGTGCACTTAATTTAACTCCTTGATATCTTTCCTTGACAACTGTTTAACTTCTCAGGTCCGTGTGATGTTATAACTTTTCATTTTCTTTGTATTGTACATGTTGTCTTGTTACTCTAAGATACAAAAGATAGAGTAGTGTTCTATGAAAAAAGCTTTGGTCCAGTTGGAATGGACAGGAAGATACACAGCTGTGGGATGATCTTGACTGAAGATACAGTGAGTATGGCCCTCATCAGTTGTGACAAGTCATAACGAAGATGGGCAGAAGTGAAGCAATTGGAAATGGAAAAAGGGATCAGGTCACACAGCGAATGTGCCTACCATGGAACCCTCACCAGCTGCCTTTGCATGGCATGTAGTGTCTGTTTGCTGAGTTTGTCTGCCTTTTCTTTATACATGCCTGAATTTGTCAGTAAGCTTGGATATATTGGAGAGTTACTAAGGAACTCAGTGAAATGGAAGCGTGGGGACTTGGGATATTCAGTTTAGGTAATCTAAATTCAAAATTACTTTTCTCTGTGTGTGTGTGTGTGAGAGAGAGAGAGAGAGAGAGAGAGAGAGGAGGGAGGAGAGGAGAGAGAGACCTGGAACTTGCTGTGTACATGCTAGCCTGGAACTCGAGAATTCAACTGCCTCTGCCTCCCAGATGCTGAGATTAAAGTATGTGCCATCATGCCTGGTAGTTATGTTATTTTAATATGCTTTATGGGAAACCACAGGAGTCACAAAAATAAAATTTAGTTAATTCATATTTTCCTTATTCTATATGATTTTGTATGGTAAATTCTTTATGTGGTGTGGTGTGTTATTCTTAAACACAACAGCGGGGGTGGGTGACAAAAACACTCAGAGGCAGGTCCTTCAGGGTCTGGAGGTTAAAGTTGGTTGTTGATATCGTAGGGTGTGCATTGTTACTACAGCCACTGCTCCTGAGGAGTTAGCATTTGAATTTGTGACCACATGTCAAAACTGAAGTAGGCCCTCCTCCTTTCCCTCCCCCCACCCTGCAACCTAAGATGAGTGTTGAAGAATGAGGTAATGGTTGTATAACTCTAGTCATTGTCTGCATTACATTAGAATGTGAACTAATATCTTTGTACCCTCCTGTTATTTAATTGGGCAACCATTGAATTCTTTAATGAGCCCAGGTTTCTTAGTTTATGCAATAATTATATTTCCTATTATAGCATGCTTGTAGAACATAAATTAGACAACTTTTTCCCGTGTGAGACTTCATAGTCTTATATTTCTAAGATTTTGCAACTAGCCTAGTTTTTCTTTTATTAATATATGTATATTAGTGTTTTGCCCACATGTATGTCTGTGTCAGGGAATCAGATCACCTGGAACAGGAATTACCAACACTTGTCATGTGGGTGCTGGATATTGAACCTGGGTCCTCTGGAAGAGTACAGAGTGCTGTTAACCACAGAACCATCTCTCCAACCCCTGTTAACATATTTTTTCAAACAAAAGTTCATTGGAAATTCAAAAAGGCCAATTACACCTCACTTATGGCAAACTTCTATGCCATTGATTAATGCTTTGAGGAATCAGCTTCTGGGCAGGAGTAGAAATGCCAGAGTGTGTTTGTGGTAAGGAAGAAACTGCAGCATCTCCACAGTCATTGCTTAGTGTGTAGCAGGCTTGATTGTCACATAACTTGTTAAAACATGATAAAGAGGCTGAGAAGTAGGCTGCCAGTGCTGGTGATGCTAATGGAATGTTTGCCATGCAGGAAGACTACCATAGTGACCCATGCAGAAGTGGGATCCTTGTCTGTTAGTCTCTTCTAGCTGGGTTTGCTTTGTTCCCTACTCTTGATTGTATTTATATCTTATTTCACCTTATTTTTTCAATTCATGGCCCGGAGGGTCTTAACCAGTTTATTTAAATGGCCTAACCAGTCACTAACTACAGTTTCTATGATTATACTTAAGTACATTGTTTTAATTTAAATTTTGGTTTATGTCCTTCTCACAAAGAAATATAATAGTTATAAGCAATAGTCAAGAGAATGCACATGTTTAGAAATTCATGAAACTATCAAAAGAGCCAAGGCTCCAGAAACATGTTAGGAATAAAATAATCTAGGTAATAGACAGCTTATACGTGGAAGAACGACACATGGACTATGAGTGGCTCCTTAAGACTGGCCCTGAGTGAGCATAGTCCCGGAAGGTGTTAATGGAGCGCTGTAAAAGGCTTGTGGCTCTGATAAACAGCACTCTCTCCTTCTGTTTGTGATCATGGGATAAAAGCCCTGTGCTCGTGTGTTCGTGTTCATTTACAGCATATAGTGTGCTCTTAAGATGGAGATCTCATTCCCCAGGAAGCATTTCTGGGTAAGATTAATTGCCCTTTTAAAATCAGTGTTTGATGTATTCCTTTGCCCATATCCTGGTTTGCTTTGACCCCCTTTGACCTGACCTCACTGCCTGTTACCACCGCAGCTATCAGAGCCCTTCAGCATGATGTATGCACTTCAGACTTCAGCCTGTGCTTTCTCCTGTCACTGCATCCAGTCAGTTGGCATCTTGTTCTTGGCCATAACAGAGGTTGGGGAATTCATCAGATAGAGCAAAATTGTTCAAAAGAGTTAGTGGTAATCAAAAAAAAAAAAAAACTTATTTCCTTGTTGGTTTTAAAACATCTTTAGAATTATTAAATATTTCTCAGAAAATTTGTTTTTGAATCATAAAATAACCCTGAAAACCTGCAATCAGTCCATTTGACCTTAGCTTTCTCTTCCTGCATACATAGAGGTATGGACCTCAAAAGGGATTAATTCAATTGAAATTTTCTCATGAAAGGCTGTGTTTCTTTGTCTTCCCTCTTTTTAGCCCCCTTTTTAAACTAAGAGAGTCCGTTGTATTTGTCAATTAGAAAGAAATTGCAGGATATCCCTAGAAGCTTGTTTTACAGATCTCTTGTTTCAGTTGGCTGGGACCTGAGGACTGGTTCCCAGCAGGCCACCATTGCCTGGTGTGAGCCCCCAAGTGCCAGTGTGAGGGAGGTGTAGCAAAAGCTTGAATGGATTTTGCTTTGTTCTAGTTGAGTATTTTTATCTTTTCTTTTTCTTTTGCTTTTTGCTTTTCAAGGCAGAGTTTCTCTGTGTAGTTTCTCTGTGTAGCTCTTACATTGGTCGACATCTAGTACCCACGTAATTAACGTAATTAACTTATTACCATACCTTGCAGCATATGCCTACCTTTTCTTGATCTGCTTGCTCTCCCTACTCTCCCCGTGACTCTCCTCACCCTTGTGGTCTTAGTAGCCCTGCCTGACCTAGAATTTCTCTGTGTGGGCTTGAACTTTGTCTCTTCCCCCTGTCTTGCTGGGACTCCAGGTATGTGTCACTCCCTTCAGTTTACAAATGCTGGGGATCGAACCAAAGGCTGTGTGCACAGTAAGAAGCCTCCTCCACATGAGGTATACTCCAGACTCATTTTCTCTGTCTTTTTCTTTTTTGATTTTCAAGACAGGGTTTCGCTTTGTAACAGCCTTCAAGTCCTGGAACTGTCTCCCTGTAGACCAAGCTGGCCTCAGAGTACTCACAGAGATCTTCCTGCCTCTGCCTCCCAAGTGATGGGATTAAAGGTATGTGCCACCAATGCCCAGCTGGGCTCTCTTCTTAAATATTTCATTCAATTCTCCAAGGAGTACTAGAGATGAGTCTTTATTCCCTCTGTAAGATGAAGAACTGGAGACTCACATCTAACAAAGGATTCATAGTTAGTAAATGTTGATGGCTAATGTCTAAAGGAAAGATTTTGCTGTTCTGACATAAGAGAGTAAGAGATTGACTAGAACTGTTGGGACTCTGTAGACAAGAGGCTCACAGTCTGGCCGGTGAATTAGGTGAGAAGCGACCTTGGGTTCTACACAGCAAGCAGGACCTGGGCTATGTCTTAGCACACATCAGGCTTCACAGCATTACCAACTGGGTCTCCTTGGGAAATGTGATGGTTGGATTGGTTCTACAGAACATCTAAAACAGACTGTACTGCAGAGGTTCATGAAAGAGAACCCAACTTATGTGTTTGTTTTCTGTTAACCTCTCTCTTGCTGCTGATGGTCTATCAGAATGTGAACTATGACTTAGTGTGACACCTTTACTTCCTATATAAGGAAATCTCAAAGGAATAAGGTCATTCATTCCCAGGGATTTAAGTGTCTGAACTCCCAGGGTCTGTTCATAGCACTGGTCTACATGATTGGCCTTTCCTTTATGTCTGATTTATACTGTTGTGTGCATTTGTATTTGCTGTACATGTATCTGTATGCAGGCAACATATTTTATAGATGCATTGTGTGTTACCATTGTTTTTAAGCCTTTACTATTTATTAGCCAATAGGATTTTTCCTGTTTTGTATTTTTTGTTTGTTTCAGTGTACTGCTACCATTCTCATATAGACAAAATGTGCTTGAATACATATGTGTGCATTAAAATTTTCATTTTTAGTGTATGCGTGTGTGTTTGTGTGCAATTATGGTAGGATGATATATACACCATCCTGGTAACCAAACCCAGGACCTCTGCTGCAAGAGCAGAACCAGTCCTTAGCCATGGTGTGGTCTCTCCAAACCGTAAATATATTTTCCTTAAAAGACAACTATTGTAACACTATTCACTTTAAAAGTAGCTACTGATTTTTACTGTGAGGATACCTTCCAAAATAATATTGTATACTTTTCAAAATTGAAAGTCCAAACCCTATTGCAGATGGAAGTGTCCCTCGGATCCCTAACTTGGAAGGTTCCTCATGCAGCAATGTTAGAGTTGGAACCTTTGAAAGGCTGTGGGCCTTTTCTTGCCTGTCCACTGTCTTGGGACATCAGATGAAGGCCCACTCCACTTGCTAGTACCTGGACCTTCACTCAGCCGCAGAATTGTGACTGTTCTTTAGAAACTCCCCTAGCTGGATGGTGGTAGTATACACCTTTAATCTCAGCACAAGGGGTGTAGAGGCAAGCAGATCTTGATGAGTTTGAGGCCAACCTGGTCTACAGAGCAAGTTACAGGACAGGCTCCAAAGCTACAGAAAAACCCTGTCTCAAAAAGAAAGGAAGGAAGAAAGGAGGGAGGGGAGAAGAGAAGAGAAGAGAAGAGAAGAGAAGAGAAGAGAAGAAATATCCTGCTCTGAGAAATTGTCCAAGAGTAGTGCAACCTAAGACAGGACTGGACTAAGCACCAAGCTGGGGACAAAAATATTGGGACTGTTGAAGTTTGATGATAGACTACCTAATAGTTTGATATCATTTTAAATTTTACTAACTACACAATAGTTCTGTGAAATATATTTGTTAGAAAATGTACATCACAAATGGAAAGTTATGGCAGAATAAGAGTCACCCTGCAAAAGTGATATATGAATGACCACAACTGCCTCTCTTGATTACTATCTTAAACGTTTGCCTAACTTAGAGCTTCTATTGTATGAACTTTTTTCTGGGGGAACAGCTGTCTTCTGCTCATCTCAGATAGGATCAGGGACAGATCCAAGAAAGGATTAAATCCAAGTCTAGCTTGGTGACCAGTGGGATGTGACAAGCATTGTGTATAAATGCTCAGGATGGGGCATGGCTTGTGAGCCCATCCCCATTTCCACAGTGGAAAGCTAATGGGCTCAGTCTAGTGCAGATTTTTTGGTAATCTCAGATGCTCACATTTCCAAAGGCCACAGCCAGAGGACAACACTCGACAGACTTCCATATACTGGAAACTCCAGTGGAGGCAGAGGTAAAACCTGCTAGTGGAGGCCTTGCCTTGCAAGCCCAAGACCCTGGTTAATCTCGCATCACCCAACAGACAAAAGGCAAAATTGCAAGTAAGAAGTGTACAGTGGAGTCCTGAGTCATCTGCTTTGAGTGATGTTTCCAATTTCAAGTATAAAGTCTAGAATCAGAAACACAGACATGTTTACTAAATGTGTTTAGTTTAGCAATCTCATCAAGGGCTCCCTTTCTCTTGTTAGAGGAAGGTAGGAATTAATTCATCGCTATTCTTTTTGTTCATGTAGATAATTGCCAAATTACCCAGCCATGCTTTGTTGTTGTTATGGAAGCATAAATTTAGGTGGCAACATACATACTTGTTATTTATTTGGGACTACTTGTAGCCTTTACCTCACTAACTCCAGCAGTTCTGCAGTCACACACTGCCCAGTGGTGGGGTGGCCATCAGACCCAGTTCAGAAGATGTTTTGGCAGCCCACCCCACCTGCCACTGTGAAACTCCACTGCATTATCACAGTGTATCAGTACCATATTAGCTGCTGGGGACATCCGTGAACAACAGGAGCTCTGATTACAGTCCCAAGGAAACCCTGCCCCATCCCAAGAATTCTCTGTTTACAGTTACTTTTGAAGGGAAGTCAGAAAGTAAACAAAAGAATAAATACCCATGATGTGTTTGGATTGATGCATGCAATGACAAAATGTCTCACATCTTTGTCTTATTTTGCTTTGCTTTTCTTTGTTTTGAAATAGGGTCTGAGTCTGTAGACTAGGCAGGCTTTGAACTAAGACTGCCCTTGTGACTCTGCCCCATGTGCTCAGTTACAAACATGAGCCACTGTCCCTGATCATATCTCGCATCCACAGTTGTTCAGTGATGGGTAAAGCAGAGAGAGATCCAACTTAGTTATGCAGTTCAAGCAACCTGAAAGCCAGAGAACTAGTGTTTGCCTGCCTATTGCCATGATGGCATGATATGCCAGATTGGACAAAGAGCTAGGATGGTTCTGATGTTCTCTGGCTTGCACGGTGTGACTGTTGTCACACAGTGAGAGGATTAGTCTCCTCTCAAGCATGAGTGCATCAATGGATGGGGCACTCGCATGTGTCCACTCCAGTTAAATGCTGCTTTAGGAACTGTGTTGAACAGTGAGGAGTGACTTGTTAGTTTTTCTGTCTTGGAAAAAGATGGCTCTGGCTTGAGAACCTGTACACAAAAGGAACTTTTACTCTCACCACGCTTTCGTTTTTTGACTCGGTTCTAAGAAGGAGGAAATTCTGAGAATATTAAAATAAAGCTCAAAGAAATATATAATAAGAATATTAAGAGAACCGTACTGGAATTGTTTCTAGATATTCTAAGAAAGATTTAATATGGTAAGACCTTGGCAATCTAGAACTTGGAAAGATGAATCAATCATTCTAGAGAACTCTAGTGTTCGTCCATCTTACACCAATTCTTCAGGGTTCAGTTTGTTGATGGCTCTGACCAGTGTCATGAAGCTAATCATTGTATTAACTATGTGATTACAGCTGTGTAAAAGAATTACATAGATGCAACAAAGATGGCTGGGAAGCTGGAGGGATAACTAAGGTGTTAAGAGTACAGTGCTCCTTCAGAGGACCCAACCCAGATCCCAGCATCCATATTGGACAGCTCACAATTGCCTGTAACTCTAGGTCCAGAAGATCCAACATCCTCATCTGGCTGCCATGGGCATTGCACTCACTACATGCACAAATTCACACTCAGACACACATACATTAACTAAATAATAAAAAAGGAAAATTAAGATTGCTAGGGAAATGAAAGCAATAGAGACAGTTTTTAGTTTCTGGAGTCATGAGGCAGTAGTCTGTCCCCCAAAGTTGTGCTGAATTGTGATAGGTATGTGGGGAAGCTTTGTTTGTTCTCTCTCTCTCTCTCTCTCTCTCTCTCTCTCTCTCTCTCTCTCTCTCTCTCCCCTCCCCCCCCCCCCCCCCCCCTGCTCTTAGGTGCCAACCAGGCCCTCCTGTACCTTAGCACAGTGGGGATTGAAAGGCACTTGGAATACAGCGGCAAGGACAGCAGTAGCTGGAGTGCTCCTGTCCCATCAGAGAATTGGGCCCTCTTGTCTTTTGTTTCCAAAGATGTGAGGGGATTGCCATTGTATTTTGAAGACAGTTAAAGAATTCTTTTCCTTTTTGAGTAATTTTTGTTTGGTCTGGAGTGGTTGTTTTGGGAAGAGGGGCTCGATACATAAGGGATTTTGTTTTGCTTTTAATTAGTTTCAGTGTAGGGGTGGTTGGGGTGGTTGCCCATGTACCATGTGTGTATGTATGGAGGTCAGAAGACAACCTGGGGACTAGGTTCTCTCCTACCCTGTGGGTGTCAGGGATCAAACTCAGACCACAGGCTAGCCCGTAAATGCTTTTTATCTGCTGAGCCCAGCAGCAGGCGCTGTAGTACTGTTTTTTGTTTGTTTGTTTGTTTGCTTGTTTTTGGTTTTTCGAGACAGGGTTTCCCTGTGGCTTTGGAGGCTGTCCTGGAACTAGCTCTTGTAGACCAGGCTGGTCTCGAACTCACAGGGATCCGCCTGCCTCTGCCTCCTGGGTGCTAGGATTAAAGGCGTGCTCGCCTGGCTTATAATACTGTTTTAATTAGCAATTGAGAATTAGCAAAAATCCATCAGGTTTGGTTTGGTGACTCTGAAGACAGACTGCTGGTTCTCTGTAATAATAGTTTTAATTGTGCTTTTGTTACTTCCAACACTTGAGCACATTGCTGATAATCAGCAAAGCTCCCATCTGTTAAACATCCTCTCAGATTCCCAGCGTGTGTGGCCCACCTCCACGAGGTTACCATTTTTAACAGCCTTCTACAGTGGTTTTAAATGTGTACTAGAATACTTTTGGTCAGTGGGTTCAACCTGCTGTTTTCTCCAGGATAGTTTCACTAACGTCAATCTTGGGCAAGCACAGTAATTAAGAAAGAACAAATACTTTCATATAGCAACAGAATTTTTATCAGAATTCATTGCAACCTCAAGTTTCTGTTCAGGATGAGACATATTGCAACATTTAAACTTTCTCCTCGTCTTCATTTCCTGTTGAGGGGATAAAACAAGTTTTCAATCTATTTAATTCACTAAGGAATCTGAAAAAGCAACAGATTATCTTTTCTTGGTGGTTTTCATTTCTATTGATTACTCTTGGATTTCTTTCTTGGAACAGATGGAGAAAAAAAGAACCAAGTGATGATTCACGGAATTGAGCCAATGCTGGAAACCCCTCTGCAGTGGCTGAGTGAGCATCTGAGCTACCCAGATAACTTTCTTCATATTAGCATTGTCCCCCAGTCAACAGATTGACAGAGCAGCTCCTCGCTGGATGGTGGAATCACCTTGAGTCAGCATGTCACCCTCGCTTCAGTCAGGTTCAGTGGTGGTGGAGACACGTGGCTGCCTGCAAGCCTAGGAGGAAGAAGATCCCAAGAGAGATAGGGCAGCCTGGCAGGTCTGACTGGGCACCACCACTGCTTTGCCACACTGCCATCATTAAACTGAGCTGAGACACAACAGGACCTGGAGTGTCTTTTCCTCTCATGAAATACAATGCAGCTGAAGCCTTTGCTCTAGGAATAACATGGAAACATGTGCCACAGTTTGTATTTCTGACTAACAAATAAGCAGGGTATTTCCTAAGGTGACCGTGCTTGAACCTTAGTCAAGAAAGTGGAAACATTGGTTGA